TGCCGCCACCGCCACCAAAGCCTCCGCCGTAGCTGCCGCCACCGCCACCACCGCCACCACCTGGTGAGGAGAAGAACACATTTGTCAGGAGAAAGGCTTTAAATTTCGTTTTTTAGGTAAAACTTTGGAACTCTGATACAAAACAAACAACAACAAAAAAGCCCAAAATGCTGTATATGTTAATACATACCAGAGCTGCTGGTTGAGGACTGCATATGGATGGTTGTGCTTGGACCACCAGAGGCAATCCTACAAAGAAGAACAAAATGTAACAATTTGATGAGCTGGTAATGTCATTGTCACCATGAAAACTTCATTTAGCTTCTCCTGTGTTTTAGAGGATTATTTATTTATTTATTTATTACCTTATTTCCTCTCCTTCCAGCAGTTTCCTGTAGGTGGCGATCTCAATGTCCAGAGCCAGCTTGACGTTCATGAGCTCTTGGTACTCGCGGACTTGGCGGGCCATGTCCTGCTTGGCTCTCTGCAGGGCATCTTCCAGGTCCTTGATGCGGGCCTTGGCGTCCTTCACAGCCAGCTCGCCACGCTCCTCTGCCTCAGCAATCTGGGCCTCCAGGTTGGTGCGCTGGGAGGTTAGAAAATTAGCAGAAGCTTTAAATGTGATATTTCTCATTCACAATGGTATCTATGTGTTAAGCATTTATGTTTAACACATATGTAAGAAATAATCTCATCAGCTATGCAGAAACATGCATTACCTGTCCCTTGATTGCCTCAATCTCATTCTGAAGGCGGTTAATCATGCGGTTGAGCTCAGCAATCTCACTCTTTGTGTTACGAAGGTCATCCCCTGCCTGGTTTGCACTGACCTGCATCTCCTGGAACTGAAGGAATCAGATTGAGAACAAGTGTTATTGCAGATTCCACAGACCAATCCACTTTTATTTGACTTGGCAGACTTTCTCTACCTACCTTGGACTGGTACCATTTCTCAGCTTCCGCTCGGCTGTTGTTGGCGATGTCCTCGTACTGTGCCTTGACTTCAGCCACAATGGCGTCCATATCCAGGCTGCGGCTGTTGTCCATCTCCACAATGACAGAAGTGTCCTTGATCTGTCCCTGAAGCTCAGCAAGCTCCTGTGAACAAGACACAAGTTCTTTTAAAAAAAAAATGAACTGAAAGATTTAAAAAAAAAAATAGTACAAAATAAACACATCTGTGTGTGCCACAGTGCTATTCAATGTTTTTTTTTTCTTACAGCTTCATAGATAGCTCTGAGGAAGTTAATTTCATCCTGAAGAGCGTCAACCTTGGCCTCCAACTCAATTTTGTTCATGTAGGCTCCATCTACATCCTGTAAAGGAGGATAAAGTAGACTGCATTAGTCACGGCGCTTGCAGAAATGATAATTCATGCATCATCTATCATCATTATGACAACTTTTTAATGGCACATCCATTCTCACCTTCTTAAGGAGCACAAATTCATTTTCGACTCCAGCACGCTTGTTGATTTCATCTTCATATCTGTCGCAAAAATTGCAAGAAAAATGAGCTGAAAACAATCAGGCATCATCTACTGGAAGTCAGCTGATGTGTTCATTGTGACTCGTGGGAACTCACTTGTTCTTGAAGTCCTCCACCAGTCCCTGCATGTTTTTCAGCTCAGACTCCAGCTTGATCTTCTCATTGCCCAGCCCGTCCAGCTGTCTGCGCAGGTTGGCAATGTAAGCTTCAAACATGGCGTCGATGTTGGAGCGGGTGGTGGTCTGCTCCTGCAGCAGGTTCCACTTGGTCTCCAGCATTTTGTTTTGCTGCTCCAGGAAGCGGACCTAAATGGTGATATAATTTGACAAATTTAGATCTGCAGTCATAGAATAGCAATACTTGCCTTGAGGTCCTATGCCTGCTTGTTTTTCTCTGGAGATCCATCAGTCCATGGATCACGTGTAACTTTCCCACATTAAAAACTCTTGCAGATAAAACACTGCCAACGACCATATTAAAATTCCTCACAGTGCACGACTGTTCTAGACACACTGCACTGTGGAGTTTGCTTGTGAGACTTAGAAGATCAACCATTGTTTGATTAAACAGTAGAGCCCAAAAGTTAATTTCTGGGTGTGTCTTTAAGGTGCCACACCCTCCTCCAACCACTTGACATCAGCGCTCCCTCGCCTCCAGGATGCATACTTTCACTGATTGAACAAGCCTGCCTCAACCCTCACCAATTAATGTGTCACACCTAAAGATTAAGATTAACTGTTATGTCAAATGTACGATGCGCATTATACTTTAGTTTAATATATTATACTAAACAAAAATGTTCTTTAAACATCTAAGCCATTTTTTTCTGCTATTAATGATTGTTTTTGTGATGCTTTATTGCAGTAATATACCGTTTTATTTGAAATTTGAAATAAGGAGTCTTCAAAGGATGGGATCAGGTTACCTGTTTGAAGACAGATAAGGTGTGGCACGTAGCGCGCAGAAAGAGCTAACTCAGCATTTTCTCATACAGGGTGTGGTTAGAGATTTTGCCATTACTGCCTGAGAGAAACGGTCCCTCATCAATGCATCCTCTTTAATTAAACATGAAACTGCATGTGGGAGAATTTAAAGTAAAAGCCTGTCACTTCTTGCTGCCATGGGAACAAGTGATAACCAGATCCCTCGCTCCTCTCACCTGATAATGCAGCAGTAACTGGATATGACCGCTCTACTGTTTCCATGCTTTCACTCTACACAGAGACAGCTTGCAGTCTGTGCTCATGATGAAATTTTAAGGAGCATCATGTTGCTTAGTTTGAGGGGTGAATTTTAAGCAAATCACCCAGCAGTTCTCAACATTCATCAGCATTCAGTTAGCATTTCCAGGTTTAGTTGAGCTGTTGCATAATATTTAATGAGCTCAAGGGCCCTTTCAACAAAAGCCTGCCTTTGCATCTTTTTCTGTTGACAACTCTGACATCTCCCATGTTGAGGTTAATTTAGAAACCAGCTTCAGGATTTTCATTCTGCTGACATGTTGTGAGACTAAAATGAAAGCTAGACAAAACCTTTTTCAATATCAGATAGGAAACGTGCCACTCACCTTCTCAATGAAGTGTGCAAAGCTTTCAGTGCAACTAGAGTAGCTCCTGCTTGAGAAGAATAAAACGGCCTGAAACTTTTTTTTGAAACTCTTACCTTGTCAATGAAGGAAGCAAAGCGGTTGTTGAGAGTCTTGATTTGCTCTTTCTCCTGGGTGCGGACAGTCTGGATGTTGGGGTCGATCTCAAGGTTATAGGGGGCCAGCAAGCTCTGGTTTACTTGGACTTGTGTGATCAGAGGCACTGAACTTGAAACACCACCACCGAAACCGCCACCACCGAAACCGCCACCACCGTAACCGCCACCACCGAAACCACCCGCACCGAAACCGCCACCACCGAAACCGCCACCACCACCGCCACCAGAGGCATAAGAAGAATAACTACTGAAACTACCACTACCACTACCACTACCACCACCACCACCACCATAACCGCTACCCATGCCTGATCTGAGCATTGGGGTTGCTGATGACTTTATTGCCCCCCCTAGAGTGAAAGATCTTGAGGAAAAACTCTGTCTTCCTCCTCCTCCTCCTCCCATACGGCTGAAATTACCACCAGTTTGTACACCTCCACTATAGCTGTGCCGCACAACCGTTGTGGACCTGGTCGACGACATGGCTGGTTTCTTCTTAAGAAGAAGGATTCAAAGAGAAAAGCAAAGAGAGAGAGGTTTGGGAGAGTAGTGGAGCCCACTAAGAGGAAGGTCAAGTCCCTCTAAGTGTCTTGTCTCTGTCTACGATGGATTTTTATCTGTCTCCAGCTGAGGAGGAGGTCCCAGTAAGCTCAGCCTCCTCTGCACCTCCCCTCAACCCTCCTCCTATTACCTGGATCCTGAAAGGTGTGCTTGCAGGCAGTGTAGATTGGCTCAGCCTGTCAGACAGGTAATAGCGCCACCCCTGTAAAGCGATCTGGGCTTGACACACCCAGAGCTGGGAGGGCAGGAAAGGCATTTGGCAAAGACTGTTTTTGTTGATTAGCTAGGGGTGTTCTGTGTATAGGGTGGGGACCTGCATACTCACTGTGGCACCTTTCTTTTATCTACTTTTTACCTTCTGGTGAGATTCAACAAAAGTTTTGACTTTTTCAAAGCATTTTTTCTCTGTATCCTCTGTGTGAGCACATCTTTGTATTTTACTGGGATTGTGGACATGAAATTAAGATAAAACGATCTATAGGATTAAGTTGGGTAAAATTGCCCTTTAACTACGCTGAAAATGTTTCAGCAAGCAATTTAACCAGTTTTTGCTTGTCAAAATGCAATGCACATTCTTCCAGGTATGTTTTTAGATACACAGGAAAACCTTAAATTTAAATAATCTTTAAAGTGAGTTTTAAGATCTGCGACAGAGCACCAAAGTGTGACTTCACAAGTAAAACATTTTTACATAAAATAAAACCAAAAAAACAAAGTCACATTAAGATAATTAGTTTGGTAGTCGGCTGAAGGATAATCCAAGATAAAGTGGAGACCTTGAGACGAGTAAACTGGTTTTACAGGAGATTCCCTGCAGACAGTACAGTACTTACCCACTGCACAAAATCCCACAGATACACACAGAGAAAAGCTGAATCGGAGAATAAATGGTGGTCATTTCAATGAAACATGGTTTCCACATTATGCACAGTGAGCATATGAAGGAATCCACCCCGTGCTGCTTATGTGCTCAGGCCTGCAGCTTGCGGGTGCTTGAGGCTACTGTGCACAATGCTTTCAATACACAATACACTCACCCAGGTTTATTGAGTGAATGTATTGCATCGGTTTAGATATTTCAATCTTAAGAAAAAGGGCCATTGCAAGTCTTTTTTTAACTTAATGTCAGCTTGGACGAACGAGAAGCCAAAAGTAGAGTCGATTTCTTGCTCCGACAGAGCTGGAACTGTTGGTACCTGTTTAAAACCATCTTAACAACTCCAGTATAGGTGTTGGCTTCCCAGCCTCTGTACTGTAGTAGCTTCTAAACAAGCTCCAGGGCATAACTGAGTCACACCCCAAATTAAAATACCAGTGGTTCACTCTCACTTCCAACACTGTCTAGTGGAAGAACTATGCTCCTATGCCACTTACTGCACATTCACAAATTTGCATTAGTCAGGAGGGAAACATGCCAAAAAATATGTTTGTGCCTACAAAATGTTTGCTGCAAACACTATTTGTATGTGCAATCCATGGACTTCATTATGCATCAAGAATTCCCACCATCGCCAACCACCACCACCATGAAGAATGAGCCAGTTTGTCATGGCAGGCTGCATATGCTCAGGCAGACCTGAAAAAGGAAGTTATAACTATGTTTTTATTTCAAGCATTATTTTGCAGCTGCAAAGCTGATCATACTTTGCTAGAAGTATTCAACTTTAGGTTTTGTTAGCACATAAAAAGTGCTGTGATCCAATCTTACCTGGGTGTGTCACATAATGTAATGCTCCAACAGAGCACAATTCTACAAAGTGAAGTCTAAATAGTTTGAAACCGTAAGGACCTATGATTTATCTTATATGTAGACAAATGTGTGTATCTGAGCAGTGCCAATGCTGTTAGTTTTATGATCACAGTTCCAAAAAAAACAGCATCGCCTTGCTGAAATATGTGAGGCCTTCCCTGAAAAATATGTTTCTGGTTGGGGCCATATGTCGCTCTAAAAGCAGTAAATTAGTTTTAGCATTGATAATGCCTTTCTAGATGTGCAGGCTGACAAGACCATGAACACTAGGATTGACAAGAACTCACAGCTGCACCCTCGACCATGGAGAATGAACTTATGTTCAAACCCAGAACCCTTTCTGTGAGGCAATGCTGATAATCGCTGTATCAGTGTACAGGAATATGCAAGATAAATACAGAATGAAACTTATCAAACTTATAAAGTTATATCAAACGTTTTTCCATTTTAACTTCACTACCTGAGCAGTAAATTTATATTTTGCATTTGCCAAACAGACTGTTTTAGACTTCAGAGCGCCACACGATGACAACAGGTCAAATATAATAGTATTTGTCATTTTTGCTTGTCTAGAATCAAGGCGTAATTAGTTGCCTGAGGCCCATGAGGTCAGACACGTTAACCCAAAATTTGAAATCTGCAGTATTTTAGGTTTTGCTGTTGGTTTCCCCATGCTGGTCAGATTGTGGGGACTTGAAACTTTCTTCAAGCCATCCTTCATGTTTCTGCTTCTTTCCCAGAGCTATTTCACAGTAGTAGCAGGCTAAGCCAGTTATTCCATAGGAGATTTTAAAAACTCCCCAGTGGGTTATGAGTCTTCCCTAGTTCAACGTGCCTGGAAAACGTCCAGCTGAAGGCAATAAAGAGGCAAAGACATGCTCAGACCAATATAACTGGTTCCTTTCAGGCAACGACTCCAACTCCTTTCCCTATCTCTGTAGGGATGAGCTGCACACTGTGCAAGCTGCAGCAGTTATCAAATGACCTTTATGCTGTCTTTGAGTCATTTATTGGATCATTTAAGATGAAATTGTACTGCTTACTTTAGAACTAAAACAAACGACAACTTACTTCCAGGAAAAGGTGCTTCAATTAGCCTAGGCTTGTAACTGATTAGATGATCAAAAACCGTAAAGAAAGTATGACAACTCTGACATCTCCCAAACCACACACCTAACAACATATTTATTGTTCTGCATGGCAACACTAAGAAACTGTGTTAGAAATTAGAAGGATATTTGGTAACAGGAAGGTCACATTTATTTGAATGCTATAGTACTCTACGAGGACCCAGACATTAAAAAAAAAGCTGCAAAAGTCAAATGTAAAAACCCCTGACCATCATTAGAATAAACTACACTGACAGAGACTGGATTCTGAAATGAAAACTAAACTCAGGGCAGTGACAACTACACTCTGCAAGACTGTATTTCATCTCAGATGATGTGACGGGTGGCTTTTCAAGCTTTCTAGTCAGAACACGTAGTGGAATGTTCACAAGCTCATTTACTCTGTGAGAACCAAGCTTGAGATGGGAGTTTACTCTACTGAAACTTGGCAAGAGGGACCGCTGGGGAAGAAAGCGTAATTAAGTTTCAGGTGTCAATTAGGACAGCTTTTGTATTATACAATATTGAAACTTGACAATTTACATTTAACTGTATCTCGGATCTGATTTGCCGGCAACCTTCACCACTGAACTTTAGTAAAAAGGCCATGTTGTTATGTTTTCCAAAAACACAAACAGTTTTTCAGTTATTTAGACTTCCTTACACCTTAGTGATCAAATCAGGTGAGTCAGGCATCATACCGTCTGGTTAAAATGATAGTTTGAAGATGTCACTTAGAAAGAGTCGGTGTGGGGTCGAATCAAAAACTAAACTTTACTAAAATTGTCAGAAGTTCATGAACTGACATATTGGAGCTAAATCAAATAGTCAAGCTGCCTTTTGAACCTGAACCTATACAAAAACATAATGACAAGTGTCCCAGTCTATTCCTCTGCTTAATATATGACAAGTATGTTACTTTAGTGTTCTCTCACAATAATACTGACATCCATAAAGTGGCAAACGGTGGACAAATGCCAGATTTATATTTGCCTGCATAGGCCTGCAATATGTTAGTAAAAGCAGATAATATTACAGGAAAAGCAACTTCATATGCATTGCAACAGGATTTCTGCATTATTATTCCTACTATTATAGATTAGTTTTTTTTTTTAAATGTGGTGAATGTCATCTGTTCCAGGCTTTAAATGAGACTTAGGGCTGCACTAACTAGAGGAGAATTTTGCACTTCAAATTTTTTAAAACATGCAGTAAAAAGAACAAAAAAACAACTTGATAGTTACAAAAACTTTAAATGAAGTAAAACTTAATTTAAAGTTTTTGTATCTATCACAAAACAGCTTTTTCCTAAGATTATACAAGAAGTTTTTAGAATGAACATTGGATTTGGAGTTTTTTACATTATCTTGCTGGCACAGAGATAAAAAAAAAAAAAAAGCTGAGGACTTCTAACTCTTTTCTTGTTATCGGCCTTAGAGCAAGGGGAATACATATGTCACAGTGCCTGGCACTAGTTAACTTTAAGATTTTTGCCCTGCTAATCTGTCCATGAAAGATTAATTACTGAGACATTGCTTGTTCAGGAATGAAGAAAGACCCTGAAAACTAGAGTCAGATCTATGAAATGCAATGTTATAACCCAGCATACAGTCTATCCACCTCATGCAGCTGATGCACGTTACTGGATTTGATCAGGTGTATAAGCACAAAACTCTCTGGCAATCACTTTGTTTTTCTATCATGCATTTTCAATGCATGCATAGAAATGGCAGCATGTCTCTGTTTTAAGTCAGTTTTGTTCATATTAGTCAGTCAAAAGAACAAAAATGCCATTCACTTCTTAAAGCAGTGGACTAAAGGTGACAGTACACGACACAGCTGCTGGAGTGAGACAAACGGTAAAAGTGCAAAGAGAAAACAGCATTTTAGACAAAAAGAATTCTTACTCAACCCTTAGTGTAAGTTTCTGTGACTGAGGTGTGGCTCTGACTAAATCTGCACAGATTTACTACTCCCTAATCTTCTTTCACATACACATGCTTGTTCTACAAAAGCCACTACAAGGGAGTGTTAGTGGAGTGAGTCCATCAAGCCAGAGGGGAATTCTACCAGATTCTATAATGGAAAGATTAAGCTAACTGCCACACCTTAAAATGAATTACGAAGATGCGGTATGAGGACAAATGCAGTGAGGGTAATGTTCTGTCTCTGAAGGACACATGGCTTCTT